TTGACCCTAATGTTGACCCTAATGTTGACCCTAATGTTGACCCTAATGTTGACCCTAATGTTGACCTAGTAGAGCCTTATAATATACTACTCTAGAGTAGAATTCTATAATCGATTATTAATTAGTAGTAGTAGGTGGTAGTGGTAGTGGTAGTGGGTGGTAGTGATACCCAAAGACTAGGCCCTAAGCCTAGGGGTTGCAGTGCCTAGAGGTAGAATAATTCCTTTTTTTTTTTTAAAAAAAAAAAAAAGCGGTAAAATACTGCAGGGTTAAATTATTTAAAGCGGTAAGGGTCTTCGGAGGCGGACTAGTCGATAATCCGAGACCTTTTACTATTATAATTGGTAGATAGTGTAGTGGGACCTAATAAATAGATCTAATTGGCTAGATAATAGTGCGTTGCTGTTGGTAAAGTTGGTAAAATTTATTGGTTGACCGTTAGCTAGATTTAGTCCGCCGTAGGCTGGGCGATATTCTGTATAACACGTGATACGCTAGACTCTGAATGATTTAGTAGACCACGTGATAGCGAGGATTATAGCGTTAAATATGCTACAGGCCAAATTACTACATAAATTTTTAATAGTCTCACCTTCTAATGTTGCTTTTACATACGAAGCCCAGGAATGTTTAATCCTAATTTAATCAAAAAATATAGATATTAGGGACACAGAGTGGGTAGGCTATATATTCTTTCTAATTAGGGGTTCTATTTACTAAATATACAACTGGATTACACTAAAAGATAATTAACTAAACTAAAGAAAAAGTATACCTAGATTTAGACTAAGAAAAGAAGCTAAAAAATTTAATTATTTCTAATCTAGTAATTAACTGGCTAACAATGCCGACGTAACTAAAATTACTATAAAAAAAGAGTTCTATATTATATCTCAAGATTACAATTTATTCTATATACATTACCTAATTTAATAATATAATAGACCTGTCTAGAATCGCCGTATATAAAAAAGTACTATCTAATCTATAATAAATTATAGCATAGCCATATATACGCACTCCTTAGACATTACTATAAGAAGATACCGCAGAATTAGTTCTAGTTAAGGATAACTAGTAAAAAAAAATAAAATCTAAGAATAGGAACTAGACAAGTTCTATAATATAATGGATCTAACCTTAGTAGATATATATAACACCGTAGTAAAATCTACAAGCGTCGACATATCTAGCATAAGTTAGAGCGAAGGGCAAGATAGAAAGGAAAAAACAGGATTATACACATTTAGACAGGGCCAGTAACTAACTTTATCGAAGGATATCCACCAAATTAAGTAAGATAATAAAGCACCTAAATTACGCTTTATTCATGTCATAGTTTATATAACACTTCCTTATTATCACCGAAATAGTAGAATCCCATTCAATATAAACTAGAGAGGCGGGCCCCTTCCCTTAGTAATAAATATTTCTAAAAAAATGATATACAGGCTGGCTTTATATATAATATATCCACTGTCAATATCAAAATATCTACTCATAAGCTAAAACAGAGTAAAGTTAATTAAATCTTTTTATCTAATTAAACTCACGGCGTGTAGTGAACTAAAAGCAGCAATTAAAGACCCATCTATCTATTATTAGGGCTTAAGCCTTACAAACGTCGTACTATCATCTAAAAAAAGAAGATTTACCACGATTGACTTTTAGGATCAAGAATCATTACTATACAAGTTATATTATTAATAGATAATAATTACAGAAACAAACTGGTATAGACTATTATATACGTAGATAGTGTATAAAGAATTTACGCGTATAAAGACCGTAGAATTACTGCTAATAAACACACGAAACTGCATTCTATATAAAGCCAACCAGGCAATCGGCAACCGTGACAAGAATCGAGTAGAAACAAAGTGAAAAGATCTTAGTAAGAATATATTCTAGCTCTCAGCAGAACAGAAGCGTGGACAGGGACAAAAAACCTGTGCTGAGAAACACTTATTAGCCAACCTCAGCAAGAGTTGAGACGGTGGTAAATTTAAGGGGGAAAACAGAATGTAATAGATACAAGAGCGGGCAGCCGGGGGCTATATAACAGCGAGAGATCGGGCGGTCAGGGGCGGCATTTCCAGGTTAGGCGAGGCCGTTTCCAGCTTCGGCGGCCCCTAAAGGTAAATTACTAATATTATTCTAGATTTCTTTTATTAAAAGATAATATAAGTCCAGATATTCATAGAAGCGGTTTTAGATATTTTAAAAATTAAAAAATTCTTGGAATATTAATGAATACTAGCGTATTCACGAATTCTACGAGATGGTCGAGGATACAGCTTATAACATAGAGATCCGTTTACAGAAAATCGATGGAAAAATAGTGCGGTTGACAATTGAAAGCAAGGGTTCCTCAAATATAAACATAGACCTGAATGACGAAAGAGAAGTGACCAAGCAGTGTCTTCTAACTAGCTATTCCCATAATTGATCGTGAAGCTGTGGGAAGGGTCGTAATGCAAGGCCCAGTACTCATCCCAGATATGCTTCGTGACAGGCCCAATCTGACCCCCATTGATATCGATACCATCAATGGATGTAATCGGCATAATACCCCCGGCCGTGGAACAGATAAATAGTTCGTCTGCTTGAAAAGCCATCTCCACGGGTACAACCTGCACATTAACAGGGGTGCCCTTCCTCTGCGCAATTTCCAGGACGGTTCGACGAGTCACACCTTCTAGAACACCGCGGTCGGGGGTGAACAAGGCCCCATCTTTGATGATGACGATGTTGTAGCCGGGCCCTTCGGTCAAATTCGCGTCCCCGTCTGTCAGCAAAGGATACTGGGATTCTCGATCCTGAGCTTCCTGTAGGCCGCGGATTAGATCTCCCCACTGTAGGTTCTTTATTGTGGGATCGATTGCGCCCGGAGGGACACGGCGGACTGTTCTTGCCACTATGGCCTTGCCACCAACGCGTTGCAGAACAGGCGGCATGGCCCAAACGTAGGGCTGCACAAACATGTAGAGCTTGTTGACGATATCTTGGGGGTCGTGCTGGCGGACGAATTTAAGGCCGCGAGTAACGATGATCTCGACATAGGCGTCGAGAATTCCAGATTTAGCCACCATCTCCGTTAGTATCTGTTTGATTTGTATCTTGGGCAGAGGGAGCTGGAGCCGCATCTTTCTGCAGCTCGCCTCCATTCGGTCGACGTGGTCATCGAGGCGGAAGAATCGCCCATCCCATACGGCTGGGACATCGTAGGTAAGGTCGCTATGAAGGAAGCCCTGGTCAAGGAGGGGAATTTTGGCCTCGCCGAGCGGAACCAGATCCCCTTCGATCCAGGCAATCCCCTTGGAAAAAGGGTTATTGCTTGCTTCAAGCGTGGCTTGCCGGGCTTCGTGTGCCGCTAGCACCTTTTCCATTGAGGCCATATTGGGCTATGTTTGGTGAAGGATATCAACAAGAAAATGGTTGTTGGAAGAGTAGGATGTATTTTCCCAACTGTATCGGTGGTTTCTTGAGCGTTGTGTCTCAAGTTCAACATTGTCAATGAGCATCGTGCCTTTATAACTCTCAGACGAACGAAGCGGGGGTATATCCATGCACCCCGTGTACTCCGCACTTCCCAGGACAAACCGAGATCAGAGCGACTAGATAAGACGCGACGTGGGGTATGTTGATCCTCCCTTGGCGCATTGGATGCATGGAGACCCTCACGGTCCTCGGGTCCCGAGGCTCCCCTTCCGCCGATGAAACCAATGATATTGTGGGGTCTCGACCTCGGCAAGCAGTACGAAGAAGCGACATGTTGAGCCTGCGTCCATGGCATGGAACGCAGGTTATAATCGGTTCATGCAAATGTAGACGCCATCTGTGGCTCTCTCCTTATGAAGTGGTCGATGCGATCCTCAGCATCATGCCGGGTCTTTACGACATCCGTCTCTAGCCCTATTACCCTATTTTCTGAGACTCGCTCGTGGGCAAGGTTGTGGTTTCAATCTTCCAAGAATGCACTAAAGAAGTACTGGAAAGGTAGTTCTAGTAGAGTTCTGCAGAAAAACAATTGTATTCCACTCGCGTGGGCCTAAAACTATCTAAGAAGACGCGGTATGCAAGCGAACAAGAGCCTGAACCGGGGCAGTGGTCGACGTGTACTTATGCTTGACCACGGTCGACATGTCCATATTTTCCACTTTGTCAAATCGTTGAAGCATGCGCACAATGACGTAGCCGGCCTCGGTCAGGGCAAACTGCTGACCCAGGCAAATCCGTGGTCCGCCATTAAATGGGATAAACTCCCATCCTGGCCTGCGTCCGGACCACCGGTCAGGCCGGAATTCGTTGGCATCAGTACCCCAGAGGTCCTCGCGACGGTGCATAATATGCACATTGTAGGCCACTTCCTCTCCCTTGCGGATGTAAATGGGTGATGTACCATCGGCACCGCCGCCTCGCGGGAGAGTGGTGTTGCGGACCGCGCGGCGACTGTTCTCCGGTACGACTGGGTGCAGGCGCAGAACTTCATGCATAACATGTTGCAGGTAGGAGCATGATTTGAGGGACTCGAAAGTGACGGCAGCGGTACTGGAGAAATCTCCAAAGGTGTCAAGGACAACGGTACGCAGACGTTTGTAAATTTCGGGGTGACGAGACAGTAGATAGAAAGTCCATCCGAGAAGGCCTGCGGTTGTGTCTCTCCCAGCTAACAGAATGTTGAGAAGCTGGCTCCGAAGCTCTTCGGGGTCTCTTGTCTCCTTGACGAGTTCCTGAAGAAATACATAGCCACTCTCCCCTGGAGCGCTTTTTCCCTTTCCTGGCTGTAGCTCCCCTCTGAGAGCCAGGTTGACATAATACTTAGCAAATTCCTGGATGTCTGCACAATCTTTTCGGAAGTGTGGAGGATTGTACAGGAAGTACAAGTCCAGAAAATAACTTCGCATCACGACCGTCTGATTGGCTCGGTCAAAGGTCTTGCCAAAGGAAAACCCGTTGGGCAGAGAGCGCGGCGTAGGCTTATCAGTCTCCAGGCCCTGGTTTCCGTTGGCCGAATTAATCTGGGAATGGACACTGTGCCCAAAGAGGAACTCGGTGGCGGAGTCAAGAGTGAGGTTGAAAAACAAGGGCGATAGATCGACGGTATCGGTCCAGGAATCCTGCTGAACTGGGAGCCGATCCAAAAGGTGTTGGACATGACGCTCCTCAAGCCTTAGATCAGCGATTTGACTGCGAGCGAATTGTGGACGGAGGAGGGTGCGAGAGTGTTGCCTGCCTTTAAGGTTAATGACTAGTAGCATCGACGGTGTGGATTTGTAACGTACCACTCCTTTCCATCCGTGGTGAAGATTCCTTTTCCAATAACCGGACCGAATAAATTACGGCGCAAAGGGCCCAACTCGAAATCCTTGAATTGTGTCGCAAGTATGGCTTGCACATTCTTCGGGTCCGCCGTGACGTGGTGCCAATGACCCAGGAGATTCTCGTTCCAGGTTGGGTGCCGGCCCATCTCTTCATACAGGACCAACTCGTCATTCTGAAGGATCTGGTCCTTTGCTGCATCAATATATCTCTTTAGAATATCAACACCGAAGGGGAGTTTGCTCGGTCGGACGAATGCGGGCTTGCAACCCATGCGCCGGGCTCGTTGGTTGTGTAGGATAGAGGTGAAAATCCAATAGAAGGCATAGATGACGACAACCACTGGGAGAGCGGTCACCAAGCTCAGCTGTTCAGGCACGATCATTTTGCAGTTATTTCAATCAGAATGGTATTTGACCACGGCTGTAGTTCCTTCTCTCTGTCTAGATATCTACATGATATTTATAATGTCTGCTGAAATAACCGTGTTTCAGCCAGCCTAATCCCTGGATTCTGCATTATGCAACAACAATGAGACTCTGCTTTTGACGGCGCCCCGCGGGGATTGTTAAAGTCCTGCTATCAGTATCGTTAGCTTCTTCTTGGGTCCGTGGAACGCCGTGGCCCGTTCCACGGGCCCCGACGATGCTTCGCGCTAAGATTGCTGATCACTGTGTATCTAGCCGTTATCTAGACGCAAGTGGGTCTCTTCAGGGGGGTGATGCAGTAAAACTCGGTTAAGCCGTGGCCATAAAGGGCAGTGCGTACGATAAGAATCGGTTTTACAGCTTTTGAATCAATCTTAACATCCCCTTCCCATCCGAGAAGAATCACTATGATGACAATGCGAAAAACTCCCGCTAGAATGCCCCCTGAGAGGACTTCGACGATGGAATCCGAAGCGACCATTGCCCCCAGATTCACGGATGGTGCGTCGGACGAATTTGAGTTTGGGGGACCGTTGGGTGCTGCGGCGTTGATGATCGGATTCCCTCTCCTGATGTGGTACATGTGGATTGGCGCAATATACTACGATGGCAAACTTCCTCTTCCCTCGGCCGACCAGACCTGGACTGATTTCGGCCTTCTCCTATGCAACCTTGTTTACGAGGGGGCATATCCGACCGCGAAAGCATGGGCAATCTATTGGACATACTTCATTGCGGAAGCATTCATGTATTGCTACTTGCCTGGCGTTTCTAACTCCGGCCGCCCATTGAAGCATGCAGGTGGTAAAAGACTTCCCTACTACTGCTCGGCGTACTGTAGCTTTTATGCGACGCTGGCCATCGCTGTCGTCTTGCATGTTACACATGTATTCCCCTTATACACTATTATCGAGGAATTCGGGTCTATTATGAGCGTCGCCATTCTGTCCGGCTTCTTAAATAGCTTCGTTGTCTACATCCAGGCTATCGTGCGTGGACGGACGCACAGATTGTCGGGCTCCCTCATCTATGATTTCTTCGTGGGCGCTGAGCTGAATCCTCGCATCGGCATCCTGGACTTTAAGATGTTCTACGAGGTCAGAATCCCGTGGTTCACCATGTTGCTGATCTCCTGCTCTGTTGCGACGCTCCAATACGAAAAATATGGCTACGTCTCGAAGGAGGTTTTCTTCTTGATTGGGGCGCATTACCTGTACGCCAATGCTTGTGCCAAAGCCGAGCAGATGATCATCACCAGCTGGTAAGACTCCCTCAGTCTCTTGGTGTCCGGTGTTAGCCAGGCTTACTCTGGAATAGGGACATGTACTTTGAAAAGCTGGGATTCTTATTGACTTTCTGGAACATGGCCGGCGTGCCCTTCACTTATTGCCATTGCGCCATTTACCTCGCAAAGCATCACCCATCCGAATACCACTGGAACCCTTATGCCCTTTCTATCCTTGCCGTGGCTTACCTCTTCTTCTACTGGGTGTGGGACAGTGCCAATGGCCAGAAGAACGCATTTCGCCACGCAGAAAAGGGCCAACTTGTCAAGCGGAACACATTCCCTCAGGTACCGTGGCAGGCTATCGACAACCCGAAAGTGATTCAAACCGACACGGGCGATAACATCTTGGTTGATGGCTGGTTTGCATTGGCCAGGAAGCCGAATTATCTTGCTGACATGTTTTTCGCCATGTCATGGGGTCTTATCACCGGTTTCAAGTAAAGTGTTCTAATTTCAATGACTATGAGCCGTCATAATTAACTGCCTAATAGAAGTCCGTTTCCCTGGTTTTACTTTGTTTTTTTCATGGTCATGATCACCCACCGCACTATTAGGGATACCAACAGATGTCGAAGGAAATATGGCGAGGCCTGGAGGCGCTATGAGAGAGAAGTCCCCTACCTCTTCATTCCCGTAAGCTTCCAACTGACAGCCAAATGCGTGAAAATCGACTGACAAATTCACAGTACGTGTTTTAATTTTGTCGGCTCACGTTTCGGAGCTCAAGATATCCAATGGAAGGAATTCCGCTAATATAGGGAATTTGCACCCTTGGTCTGGTCGGATATAGTGATGGGGTATCTGTCGATGTATAATTATTTGTATTTTGCACACATGTTCTCCCTTGAATAGGCACAGTCTAAATTTATAGAAGAACGGGACAGCGCCTTTGTTTCTGCACGGGTAGCGAGAAAGAAGACACCGAGTCTGGAGATATTTCAATATTACGCAAGCATGAAGAATGGCGCTTTCTATGAGAACTGCTTAGGTGTGCCAATGTGACATAGAAAATTTCTGCCTAATCCAGAAACACTTAGTGATGATGGCACTTCGTTCATGATGAGAAGAAATTGCTATTGCAGATGGCCTTATTCCAATCCCTTGAGCCTACATCGGAGCACGTTTGACGTAATGGTGGTTACCAATGCTCGAGCCCAATGACGATCACGTTGCCACTCCCATAAAACTATTTCGTTGCAGACGTTCTAGGCGCAAGAGGCAAGTACTAGGCTATCTAACCAACCAAATACCTACGGATGTGTGTCCGTCGATCACCACAATTGTCCGGAGAAGCGTTAATCGGGGGCCATAATGATACGTCTGGATTCGTGTAGGATCCATGAAAATCCTTTCAGTCACCTGAAAATGCACTCCAAGCTGTCTGAGCGGAGTTCTGGGGACATGAATCAGCGTTGCTATTAGTGCCCGCAAAGAGATCTAGGGTAAGGAAGAGACTAAAGTTTCGTGCCCTCGTCGATGGCTGCCAACCTTCGTACGGCTGATACTGGACTTATTGGGCATTCTGGCGCGTAGATAAGGCTTGCGCTGATTTATTCAAATGCGGAGTACATTAAGCTAAAAATTATGATGTGTGTACATTGAGACTGGGTAGGTATATAGGTTTGCTTGCAAGGAGTTCTCAGCACACTATATCCACTATCATCGCTCCCATGCCCTCTTCACTTGTATCCAAGCACACCAAAATATATCATAAATCTAGGATGTCTGCCAAAACGTCCTCGCTTGACCCAGTCCTCGAGTTAAGGGAGATGAGGGAAGAAGGGCAAATCTTTGAGGCGCAGCTTGACCAAGATCGGTTTAATCTCTGGAGCACCATAGGCATCCAATTTTCAGTCACTGCTCCCCCCCTTGCCATTGCCAGTTACACCACCCTCATAACCGGCGTTGGAGGCAGTCCGTTCTACTTCTGGGGCTTCCTGGTTGCCGTACTGGGCCAAACCCTTGTGGCTGTGAGCCTGGCCGAACTCGCGAGTGCCTATCCACATACTTCCGGTAAAGGCCTCGTTCACGTTGAATCTGGGCAATTCGCTAATTTCTCTATGCTTAATCTATAGGCCAGATATTTTGGACTGGCATCCTAAGCAACCGCCAATGGGCGCCTTTTTTGAGCTATTTCAATGGTGTAATGACCACATTCGCATGGATCTTCGCTGCATCTGGGAACGCTGTATTTGCAGCACAGTTCATCGCTAGTTTTGGGCAGTTGGTCTCGGACACATACCGGCCTTCCGCATGGCAAATCTTTCTTCTATCCCTTGCTAGCATCATCATGGCGCTTGTATTCAACACGCTGCTCATTAATTGCCTGCCAGGCCTAACTATGTTCATGGTGGTTTTCTTGAACGTGGCTGCCTTGTTTATCTGGATCACCTTGCTTGCCGTCGTCCAGCCGAAAGCGTCGGCCAAGACAGCATTCATTGACGTTGTCAACGAAACTGGCTGGTCGTCTGATGGGTTGGTGTTCTTTCTCGGCCTTCTCCCTGGCATGATGACCGTCTGTCTTTTCGACGCAGCCGTCCACATGGCGGAGGAATTGCCCCATCCCCATCGACAAGTGCCCATTGCAATGGTGACCAATTCCCTCCTTGCGGCATTAGGCGGCTTGCTGATGGTGATTTGCCTCATCTTCTGCACCACTCGCCCGGAGAACCTGCTTCAACCGTTGGCGGGCATGTCGGTCATTCAAATCTGCTGGGACGCTTGGCCATCAACGGCCTTCGTCATCGTCGTATGTCTCATATACTGCATCATGACGCTGAACGGCCTCGTCAGTATCATCACAGGCGGCAGCAGGGTCCTTTGGTCGTTCGTGAGAGCAGGCGGGCTGCCGACGCGGACATTGTTATCGAGAGTCAACCATCGGCTCCAGACGCCTGTCAACGCTGTCCTTGCAGCGGGTTTAGCATGCGCCATCTTCACGGTCCTTTGCTTTGCCCCTTCCTCTGCGCTGAGCGGACTGTTCGGTGCTTCAGCGGTGTGCTTTGCCACGTCGTATGCCATGCCGATTTGTCTTCTTCTGGCAAACCGGCGGAGGATCCCGTCCGACCGGTATTTTAGTCTTGGACGAGCGGGCTTCGTCGTGAATATTGTGGCGATCGCTTGGATGACCATCAGTACTCTGTTTGTTTGCTTTCCGCAGTTCGTCCCTGTTGACATGGATACTATGAATTGGGCCCCGGTCGTCTTTGGGGTTGTGGTCTTGATTTCTCTGGCGAATTGGTTCGTGGTGAGAATGGTGTACGAGCTGCCACGCCCCCTGGAACGTTGAACTGCGTTCAAGGGATGTAGGTGGTGTCCATGTATTTATGGTAACGAAGACAGAGGCTGATTACGCTTATTATCGTATGAACCCAAATATATCCATTATTCCTATACGCCAATCTCCCACGGTATGCCGGTGAAACACATACATGCGGAAACCTATTCGAACCATGCCTTGCTTCTGCATTACGCAAGATATATAGTAGTCTGATGTGACACCATATGTTTGTGTAGCCCATACGGCCCAAATAAAGCAGGGTCATTTGCCGACCACAGATCCTCAAGCATCGACTTCATCTTTATCACCACAGAGATCGGCTCTCTGATAGATGATATATTTCTAATCACATCCCACTCCGCCTCATTGACAAGACACGACCCAATCACGATCGTCGGCCAGAGAAGAACGTTCCTGAGAGGCGTGTCCATCAACGTTGGCATAAGCATCAACGCACTCAGAGCATGCTCGCGAACCGCCGCCAATCGGCTCTCGTCTCCCACAATAGTCCCGCACCACATCGCGTCGTACGCGAAGATCGCTAGCGCGTGACGGTAAATCGCTGCAATAGTCAGACTTTGCTCGTGTTCTTCGGGGCTGGTGGCAGGGTGTGGGTCATCGGCAGACCCAGACCCAGATGATCCAACTGTCTCGATGAGTGTCATCAATTCCACGAACTCCGCCCAGCTTTCCGACGAGTGCTCGTCGAACATGATCTCCGCCTGGCGGCGTATGCAGAGTGAAATCACCCGCGGGATGATGTCCAGGCTCTGGTAGATGGGGGACACGATGAGGCCGAAGGTCGCATAGTTCTTGAGGATGTCCCACGAAAGTAGGAGAGAGCTGCGAGTATCCAGCTCGGACTCTGTCCCATTGTTGTAGGGGGTGGGACTGGCGATTAGGGCCAGGTAGGTGTATAGTTCGAAGGTGAAGCCACATAGGACTCGCAGGTCACTGGTTTTGGAGGAGGCGCTCAGTAGCCGACGGGCGACTTTCCGACCGGCTCGGATATGCATCATTGCGCCTTCGTCTTGGGCAGAGCCGAATACCTGGAAATCGAGAGTCAGATCTTCAAAAACAAGTCGGATCCAGAGCCCACGTGTGTCGGTGTACGGTAAGTAAGAATCCCCGGGAAAACCGATCAGATGACGCACGAACATACCCCAACTAGATAGAGGATAATCTGAGCCAGTAGGGCTCGAAGCCAGTCGAGCGGCTCATTCGATTTGCGCGAAATGGCACCCTGCAGCAGACAGATGACCTGTCCATAATGGCGGCAAACCCAGGTCTTGATTTCTGGGGAGCTTTGTCTACGTTCCAAGTGGGCCCCTCCTAGAGCGAGCAGGGAGTAGAGGATCAACTCGTCCGAGAAGGCCAGCGGGAGCAGATGCGTGAGAAAGGGGTTCTTCTCCGGGCCAACGGTGGTCATGAACCGGCTGGTTTCGGCGACAAAGTAGGCGAGAAACATGGAGGACACCGAGCCCATCGAGGGGCAACTCGGTAGTGTGATCAGCCGAGGGACCTCGTCTCGCGGCCCCGACCGTCCCCCACCGTGACGGAATATTGGGACTGGGGACGATGCGTTCTCCCTGCGGGGATTATGAGAACTAGGGTGAGAAATAAGATCCGGGGTTGGAGGGGTTGGAGGTGCATCGCCAGGGTCAGGCTCACGCTGACCAGAAGCACCTGGCCATTGGCATAACTTTCCCTTCAGCACGCAGCGAGTGCATTCGGGGCGACGCTCATCGCATTTCTTGTGCAGCCGCCGACACACTAGGCAGCCTGATCTGGAACGTGGGTAGGGTAATCGAACCGTTTGCCGTGGATATTTGACGGGCATTGGACCGAGTTCCAGGCGACATCACTAGGAGGCGAAGATAAGGAGACGGCTAGATAAGAGGAGGGCGTCGCGTGCCTATATGAAATCCTCGGAACCCGCGGAATTGCGGAGGATGTACAGCCAGGAATAGGAATGTCTTGGTGATCGGATCTACGCGGGGACGACGAGGCGGAATTTTAGTTGGACCGGCGTCTTAGTCAATGGAGTTGAGCCATTCAGATCATTCTATTTGACCCATAGGAGGATTCGTCAACGATGTACGCATCCGTAGATCCCCAGCCCTTACGTCATGGGCAGCACACCATTCAGTTCTGGAGCGACTAGATAACAATCGATAGCCGGTCCCAATCCCCAAACAACAATAGAACTTCACAATAACGCGGGGAGAGACCGATGCATCGGCAATGCTGCCTCCTATTCGACTGCGAAGCATGCGCTGGCAGATAAATAACGCATCTGCCACGGCATCCCTCGTCCAGGATACAACTCCAAGCAATCTTTCAAAGTAAAACATTTCCTTCCTGTTCAACCGACGTCCACTCTACAGAATCACCCAGATCAATATCACCCACGATGGCCCCAGTCGTTCCTCGGGTATCCGTCAACGATGCTCCGGAGAAAATCATCCAAGCCATGCACCAAGGCGGTGCATGCATCATCGAAGGGCTTTTGTCGAAAGACCAGGTTCAGGAGTTGAACGCCGAGCTCGACGGACCGCTAGAGGCCATAACTCCCGGCTCGAAACACAAGGTCGACCTCATCCAGGAATTCCACGGCCGCAACACCAAGCGCCTCACAAACGTTACAACCCACAGCAAAGTATTCCGTCACCAAATCCTTGACAACGAACTGGTTCACCAGGTGTGCGAAAGAGCCTTCCACCAAGACTCCGGCACGTACTGGATGGGCGCCGCGCAGGTGATCCAAATCGCACCTGGAAACGAAGCCCAAGTGCTTCACCGCGACCAAGGCCAGTACCCGATTTTCGATCTCCTAGGCCATAAGGCCCCCGAAGCAACGGTCAATTTCCTCATCGCCCTGACCGATTTCACCGAAGAAAACGGCGCCACCAGAGTCATCCCCGGATCCCATTTCTGGAAAGACTATTCCGATCTGGGATCGCCTGAACAAACCGTCCCGGCGATCATGAAGGCCGGCGACGCGGTTCTCATGAGCGGCAAGACGGTTCACGGTGGCGGGGCGAACAAAACCGCAGACGAGCTCCGCCGTGGCATTGCCTTCACGATGCAATGTAGCTATTTGACGCCCGAGGAAGCAAACCCGTTCATAATCAGCCTGGACACCATCAAGGAATTATCTCCACGAGCACAACGCATGCTGGGCTTCCGTTCGCAATTCCCGAAGACCTCACCCGGTCTTTGGCAATCCGACTATTCTGAAATCGCAGACGTTATTGGTCTCTCGGGTGACGATCCTGCCCTTGAGCGGTACAGGAAAGAAGTCCAGGGGCTTTAAGCGGACCCTCATCTATACCTCTTGAGTAGATAGATGAAGTATATAACGGAAGCTTCATTTGTCTATGTGGGTTGGATTCTCGCATTGCCACTCCAGAACTTATGTATATGAATATAGATTCGCTATTTCATAAACGGAATTCGTATTTCATATATTTTAATGGCAGCTAGCATCTAATGTAGATTATTTAAAAGCGAAGCAGAGCTCTTTACATTATGCAGGGACTTCAGGGTATAATTTTCTCGCTCAGACACTGCAGTAGAATAAAGTGTAAAATAAGTATGAGGATTAATGTTTGGGACCATATCGTTAAACTAGAGGCGGAGCCATTATCTTTGGCTCGACCATCGATCTCACATTCTTCCCATTATAGCACGATATCCAGCAGTTACAGGAAGAATATGAGAATATCGAGTGGATATGCTTATCCATACAATCGGGTTTAGCGGTGGGTGGAACGATGTCTACCCAACAAGTCTTGATGTCACTCCGAACACAAATCGTCAAAATGGGACCACCATAACGGCTATGTCCCGTGGACCCCCGAGTTGGCGACTTTATCTGACGCGGAATGAGGTCAAGTATTATCTCATGCGTTGCATACGTGCATAAGTATAAGAGCAGGCCACCGCCCCTTGTTTGAAAAACTTTTGCATGCCACCGCATTTGCTATTAGTGTTTCACCAAATAGTCCGTCCGACAGGCTGCAGCAATGACAAGAAATTCCGGGGCCACAGGGCTTTCCCGTATTCGGAAATGCGTTCGAAATTGACCCTGATAACCCCCAGGAGAGCCTTGACCGTATTGCCAAGGTGTACGGACCGATCTTCAGGCTCTCTATCCCGGACGATGATAATTTTGTGGGGAATTACGCACTGTCCCAAGACTTGTATGATGAAACCAAATTCCAAAAAGCAGTCACTGGGGGGTTGGAAGAAGTTCGCAATGCTGTCAAGGACGGCCTATTCACTGCCTATCCGGACGAGCACAATTGGGCCGTTGCGCACCGGGCTTTGATGCCAGCGTTTGGGCCTCTCTCCATCCGAGCGATGTTTCCAGGTACATACTACGCAGCTCGCCCCGAGTTAGATGCCATAGCCACTGACAAATACCAGAAATGCAAGACGTTTGTTCTCAGATGGTATTGAAATGGGCAAGATTCGGCTCCGACCATCTTGATCCAGTCTTTGGCTTTGAAATTTTGGCCGTTGGGATTTAATGGTGATTCTTCATCCTGAATAGTAAATGGGTTTTCAATGGCGCCAGGCAATATGGTTTCATTGCGTCTCAGGCTTTGCGCCAGACCCAAAACATGAGCTTCTCTGCTCTCGACGGGGACCGTCTCTTCCCCTTCCCCTTCTACCTCTTTTTCAGTCTCTGAACGGGTTCTCCGAAAAGTCTCCGGGATCCAAGATTTTTCTTCAAGCTCATGCCGAGGCAGAGTGTGACTGATAAGGGATTGCGACCGACTCGGCCTTGGGGCCGCTCCGAAGCCAGTAGACATGTTGGTGTTCAACAAAGAAGAGAAAAAAAAAGTGAATGAGAGATCGAATAAACAGAGCTTCTATATTATACTCGAGGAAAAGGTTTCGTTCGCGTCCCTGAATAGAAATGAAATAAAAGAAAGTAAAAGTAGAGGGTGTATGCAGTTTGACTTATACCGTTGTAAACCCGGCCTCGTTGACTGGGTTCTCCTGATGTCATGCACGATTTTCCGTAAAAACTTCATTCTTTGTACTTCATGTCTTTCCCTGCAGCTGCCCATTATCGAGATGATGATGTGGGAAGGTCTCGGTGACCTCATCAACCAATTCCGAAAAGACGAGCTAGGCCCAGAGCCCTTAGACTCGACTCGCGCTGCTAGCATTGTCCATCGTTTAAACGTCCCGTATACTTATTTTGGTGCGTCCACCACAAAAGCATATCCCAGGTCGTAGAGTTCATCTGATAGTCTCCCCCCCTCTTTAGGTCCCCTTCCCTTCTTCCGAAACCTCCGGACTAGTCGGACAACATCGATGTGTGTGGGTTCCAATTTCTCCCCAGTCAGTCCGACTATGAACCCCCGGACGAGATTAATACATTTCTAAAAGCGGGGACCACGCCGATATACATTGGGTTTGGGTCAATTGTTGTGGATGACCCTGCCCAGTTGACGAAAACACTATTTGAGGCGGTGCGCCTGACTGGCCAGCGAGCACTGATCTCGAAAGGCTGGGGTAAGCTCGGGGGGGATGTTGATATACCGGACAATATTTTTTTACTAGGCAATTGTCCCCATGACTGGCTATTCATGCACGTTTCATGCGTGGCCCATCATGGGGGAGCCGGTACCACCGCCGCCGGTTTAAGGCAGGGATGTCCGACAGTAATCGTGCCATTCTTCGGGGACCAGCCATTCTGGGGCTCCATCGTAGCACGGGCCGGTGCTGAGCCACCACCAGTGCCGTTTAAGCAGCTGACGGCGGAAGATTTGCCCGCAGCTATCAACAAGGCCCTTGAGCCCTCCACAAGACATGCAGCTTCCGAGATAAGGGACAGGATGGCCTCGGAGACCGGAACAGAAAATGCAGTCCAGAGTTTCCACAGGCACCTCAACCTTGGTCGATTGCACTGCGTGATTTGCCCCGATAGACCGGCAGTATGGTGGGTGCGTAACTGGAATATCAAGCACAGTTCATTTGCAGCTGGAATACTGGCACAAACGGGGCACATCGACTCGAAAAGTTTTGCGCTGTATTGGCCTACTTACTACCATTTGAGGCTCATTCCACTAACAGTCCCAGGTACCGAGCCCAAGAATATGAAACGGACCGTGATCCCAATGGTCCGATAACTGCCGTGGCACAGGTCTTTTACAGAGTCATAGTCGATGTGTCTCGAGGCGTTGGGGAGTCTGTATGAAACGCCGCTCATTTATTTTCAGACAGTGGTTCAAAGCAGAGACGCCGCCGTGAGGATGATTCCCTACAGACCAGTGGGAGGAACAGCGCATCCCATAAACGAGGGGCCGCCAAAAACAGCAGGGCAAAATCGATGGTCGCCGAGACTGAGTATATCGCAACTCGGCTTTTAAAGAAGACGGCCAAAGCGATTGTTTCAGTGCCTGCTGACCTGACCCTCAGCCTGTCGAAAGGCTTCCATAACGCACCCAAGTACTATCACGACACCACGGTGCGCAAGTTAGCCCGTGTAGACGGGGTTCAAAGTGGCCTCCACGCAGCGGGAAAAGTATTTGTTCCCTTCCTGTTGCCCAATTCCCGGACAGTGGGCGCTGATCAGCCTTAGGAATTTACAAGGGGGTTTGACGATGGCATCAGTGGCGTGCTGTTACTCCCTGCTCACGGGTAACAACGTTCTGGCCGGAGAGGCTTGGTAACAGGCATTGGGAAAGGTCTGGCTGGCGTCTTCTTTAAACCCATTGCAGGTCATTTGTCCCCTACCCCGCCCCCCCCAATATTTTTTTTTTTTTGGAACGACAACCTGACTTTTAAAACTGAATAGGGATCATAGGCTTAGCTGGCCATCCTCTCGATGGGCTCCACAAAGCCCTCCGCAAGTCCCTTACCGCGAAGGAGACGAAAGATATTTTGCTATCTCGGATCACGCTAGGCACCGACGAATTGCGTGCTGCATCGACTGAAGAGCGAGCCATGGTGATTCGGGCATGGGAGGAACTAATGTTGTGAATTATGGCTCGACCTTGCAGAAGAGTTTCACTATAGATTCTAGATCCTGATTGATTGGAAATCAATCTGGTGTTCATGCTGTATATAAATCCTCAAGTTTTCAGATGAGAACATAATAATTCATTCTTCCCTTGAATAACAACAACTAACATTAGCCCCTCAACATAGTCTCCGATAGACAACAGCATCGTCCTGTCACCCTACAGCAAAATATTCCCGACACTAGTCCGAAGGGGAACTAATGTCTACCATTATTTATTTTATAAATTGTTGATAAATATTAAGCGTCAAATGGAACACTACCATTTCGCAGCATCGAAGAGGCATACAAGAACTGTTGCCTGACCATTTATATCTATACAGTTCAATATAGAGTAGAAGTATTATCACCTATCAACCGAAGATGAACAAAATAAAACGAGCAATAATGGAATAATAACAAGGTCTTCTGCCAGAAAATAAGTTATGATTATAAGAGTTTAATACCTAAGTGTCAAATAAAAGTATTGTCAGCGGAATGAGGTAATTTTACCGCCAAGATTCAACACTTTACCATTATCCGCCTAGATCAACTCTATGGCTTCAGACCACCTATTTCAATGAGGCCACGTGTCCTCAATAATAGGATGGTATATAGAACTTCATGTAGGTCATCAATTCAGATGACTGCGTATCAGCCACACAAGGCTTGCGCCGGGGGCCGAGGATTCCGAACTCCGTGTGGAGAAGCTTTCGGCAGTTGGCCACTATGCCACTTTCCAATTACTTCACAAGAGAACTGTACTGTGGTCGAGTGCGAACAGATTATAAAAGTTCGGTCAACTCCACATGATCTACTTTTATTACCCTTTAAATAAGAATTGATAGTTATTATGCACGTGTTCTTAGAAGTAGATCTACTTAATGCTATAGTCTAGACAACAGAATTGTATGAAGAGTAAGGAGTTTCACGGAAATGTTTATTAAATGCGATCAAAGAACTGCAGCGGTAATTATACTAATATAGTAGGAAGCAAAATCAACTCTCCCTGCCCAGCCGTGGGGATCAAGGCCTGGAGTCTTTGTTCTTTCCGTTGAGAATGGCTTCCACCTGCCTAGCCGCTGCTGCGCCCGAGTTCATCGCGCCGTCAATGGTACAGGGACCCAAGGCCGCAATATCGGCTCCAGCAAAGGAAATGCGTCCATGTCCCTTGCGAATATCGACACAGCCCTCCAAGAAGTGACGAGGACGGTGCATCATCCACCCGCCCTGCGAAAAGTCATCCGCATTCCAGTCCTGCCACGCAGTGTCAACGACCTCGAGGTCCGGCACAAACAGCCGCAACGCCTTCTGCACCGCAGCAAGGTCGTCGTGCTTGATGGAGTCCGAGTCGGAAATCATGCACAGGATCGCGGTGTTATCCCCCCAGCGTTTCTCCACACGCACCGAGTTTAGAGGGTGCTGGCCCGGAGGCGCCAGCGCGGAGAAGGGCTCGATGTGTCCGCGCACAATCACCCACAGTTTGCTCCCACGCACAGGGTTGCCTTCAGTCAGCATCTTTTGGACTGTTGGCGGCAGAGCCGGGGTGATGGCAATATGGCGCATGGTGTTGATCGGCGTGGCCACAACAACCGTCTTGGCCTGGATCTGGGTGCCGTTAGACGTGGAAAGGGTAACGCCCCAGCCATTGTCGGTGATTTTCGTGATCGCGGTAGACAGTCGCAGCTCGGCCTTGGACTCACCCTGGATGGCATCGCTCAGCGACTTCATCCCGCCGGGGAGGGACCATGAGCCCGCCGTCTCCAGCTCAGCCGCATAGTTTCCAAAGTTGGTGGCCACAGCGAACAGCAGCTGCTGCGACCCATGCAAGGAGTAGTTGTGGCAAAGCCCGCTAATGACGCCTTTGATGAGATCACTGTCTTTCTTGGACATGTTCATGGAGGCAATACGCTGCTCCAAGGTCTGGTCGATGATATCGCTGTTGTCCACCGCGGTCGGGTTAAAAGGCAGCGGAAATCTCTCCCGGGCGTCGGCGAAAAACTTCGCGACTAACTCGTGCGTCCGCTCGAATTCATCAGTATGGACCTTGCCGTCGGCGAGCTGGTAAAACGTTTTGGATTCAAGCGGCGGGTTGAGGTGCTCCAATCCGTGCTTCTCCAGCTCCACCCAAACATTGGGCTGCGTCCAGTGCACGTAGCCTCCTCCCAAGTCCAATTCTCCTCCACAGGCGGTGGTGGTAAAAGTGCGGCCGCCGATGCGATCTCTGCCCTCAACGAGGAGGACCGAACGGCCACGGGTTGAGAGGTCGCGGGCGGCGACGAGGCCGGCCATGCCAGCGCCGACAACAACTGTGTCGTAAACTTGAGACATTTTGTTGAGGTATAAGTCGATGGATTTAGGTGAAGTAGATGGTTTCGGTTGAAATAGATGATTGAAGCTCAAGTAGTTATTTGGTTTGATGATTTGTGAAGCATTTTGGGTGGGAGGACTGAGGTTTTATATGGGCAGTTGGTGCCTAACTCTACATAAATATGTAAGTACGACACACCTGCTTAACGTTTCGTAGTCATGATGCTATCGCCAACTTACACAGTAGGCTGGTATGGTCGGCACCCGCGGGTCTGAGGAGCCTCCACGGGTCGTCTTGTCGGCGGCTAGATAAGATCTTGTTAAACCTTATCTAGTTTTGTGGCAAGTAAATGACGTCAGAGACCCCAACCCCAACGAGGATTTCAATTTTTTTTTTTTTTTCTCTTGACCGAGGTACTTCACATATCGGCGCGACCTGCATAATGAGCCCCAAGGCAAGGGATGGAGGTGCCTATGTGCAGCTGTACAGGACGGGATCGCCAGCTGCTCTTTTAAACTTCAATAGCACGGAAAGGAAGGGGTGGAAGATCTTCCAAAACTAGGAATAGGGGTGAAGAAGAACGGGAATCTAGTTAACCGTCATAGATGAGGTAAATTGGTTGTTTCAACTCTCGCCTCCCGCACCCTTGGGAAGTCCCGCGCCCACACAACAACCCCACAGCACGTTCCTTGGACTGCGATTTCCGCCCTACAAAGGCCTCGCCAAAAGAAAGATGCTTTTGCCCTATTATCTTCCTATACCAGATATTTTAACTGCTTGCTCTAGGCCAGGTCGACGGGTCTATCTCTTATCTGCATATCACATGACCGGATACTAGGGGCTGTGTTAGAGCTCAGGGACGTAGCCCTCCGCCGTGGGTGGTTGCAGATGAGCTGAGGTCAACTTTTTCCTCGTGCGGGACAAAATCGATTATATAAGCGCCAAGCCGGCTAACGTAGCCGGCAACCGAGCGTTCCGCGCAACCGAGCGTTCCACCTCATCACAATTTCCGTGCCTCCTACAAATGAAGCTATTCAAAACACCGAAAAATCTGCATTTCTATAGAAAATTTAAATATTCTAACGATTAGGACATTAAGGAATTTTATAACCTAGAATACCGCAACCAGAGCACTTTGGTGGAGCGTATACACGCTGGTTTTCTACTACAGGGCCTATATCTACTACCCCAGTAGATATAGCTATATTAGTAGAATTCCTGCCTTATATAAACTCTTGAGCTTTTAGAACTGAAGCGCCTAATTCTATAGACAGCTGTCTAATAAAGCGCTTTTTCTTTTTAAGTATTCTTTTATGTGCGGCGCGTAGTTCCCTAACTTTTTGCTTTGCAATAGTAACTTTATTTAAAGCTCGTTCATAGCCTTTAAAAAGTTGCTTTATTATAATCTTAATAAACGAGTTAAGGCTTTTTATACGAGCTCTAAGCAGCTTTTTCAATGTAATTTCCTGCTTTTGTAGTTGCTTTAGATTATAAGACGTTTTAGATATTGAATTAGTAGACCTACTACTAGATCTACTACCTGGAGATGTTGCTTTTAGCTAAATATTTAGCTGAGATAATACGCGCTCAGGATTAAAAGGAATAAGGCCAATAACTGAGAAACCGCTGTAGATATTACTAGTAGTATATATCTAAGCTCTCGCTTAAGGAAAGGCTTCAAGAAAGTCAAGTTCATCGATACGATTGAAGCCTAATCTTATCTTATTCTCAATCAACTGTCTGTACGCGTATTTTAAAAGGCCAAAGCAGCCTATATCAAGAGGCTAAAGTAGGTGAGATAAGTGCGCAGACATACAGAGCGGTATAATATCGTTTTAACTACATATATCGTCGAACTGAGGTGTTAAATAACTACCGTAACTATCAAGTATTAAAAGGTGATATCGACCAACCGCATAGCTAGCAGTAAAAGGTATAAATAGCCGCTGCAGCCAACGAAGGCCTATCTTATTAATAGTCCAGCTATTTACACTCGTTTCTATATGCCAGTCTAATAGTAGATCTATCTCGTACCAGCCCTTAATATAGACTTTACCTTTAAAGATAAGGCAAGGTGGAAGAGCTTCTCTAGAGCTAATATATTCAATAGAAATAACCTATTCCCGGTTCCTTAGCTATAGAAGAAAAGGCCTACCAGCTAATTCAGCGCGAGTAACTACTTTAGCAATAGATATCAAGCCTATTAAAAAGCCAGTTTTATTAAAGTTATAAATATCGTCCGGTTGAATACTATACTATATTATAGTAATTTGTACGCGCTTAAACTACTTACGTAGAAGTTTAGAATTCTTATATTTAGCGCGCTGATAGTTATAGCGGTAAAAGAAGCGGGATTTTAGCTTATCTCTACGTTAAACTAGATAAGATATCTATTTCTAACTTACAGTAATAAATATAAAATCACCACACTTAGTAAATAGAATATTGGCTATTTCTCGTACGTGTGCATACCGAGAAGCTGCTCCACGTTAATCTAGTAATAGAATCCAGTATACTAAAGAATTCTCCTTATTTTAAGTCAATTTATAACTATTAGCACGTACTTCATTATATATAGGAATACTAGAAAGCCGACAGTATATAATAGTAGGAGTAAGATTAAAAACACGTGCAGCTTCACAAATAGAGCTAATTTCTTATTTTTTAATAGCTGAGATAGTAAGTAGAACTCTGCCTTCCTTTTCAATTAATTCTTTTAAATTTTTAAGCGTTTTTAGTGGCATGGTTAGTAGTTAAATTAGGTAGACTTTTTAACCATGGCCAAAACGCGTGAGGTGGAACGCTCGGTTGCGCGGAACGCTCGGTTGCTGGTTACGTTAGTTAATGTAATTGGTAAGCGAGTTGTCTATACCTATAAATTACACTATAAGACACCTCTTAGTGTCCAGACATTTTTAGGTACTCGAATAGCATAATTCTGCCAATATATACCTTGTATGGCTTAGTGCAGAGTATTAAAACGTATATAAAGACGGCGGTTGCCTTAACCAAATTCTGGAGACCGTTGACCATTCTCCGCAGAAACACCACCGATTAGTAGTACACCGAAAGAACACTTACAATATCTTTTTAAAAGATAAACAAAGGACAGAGTTTGCTTGTAGGCTATTATAAAAGATATAAAGTAATATATAATAATAATAGTACACAATGGCCCAGTGATAGTAAGCCACTAAAAATATATTAAAGTATATTAATTATCACTAGATCGCAACTAACAGCTTTGACAAGACTAGTATATTTTTAAACTTATTAAGACAACCCCTATCTATAAGCGAATTTTATTATAACTATTTAAAACATAGAATAGTAGCAACATACGCTTAAGTATTAGTACCCCAAAAGAAGTATCAGTATACACAATTTTGAACATACTCCAAGGAGTTAGGATACATAACAAAGCCACCTTTAGGGCCTTCTATCTATATTACTACTCCACAGAGTATAAAATTACTAAACAACTTACTCGCTGAATCCCTATTCATTATCTTATAAATAATACGATTAGAGCCTAGGTCATTACTCCCATCCCTTCTAAATATACGACCATCTGGGAGAATTGGAAACTCCTGGTATAGTTCATTAATACCAGTACAGTAAGGGATATAGAGGCCTTCACTAGTTTTAAATTCTATCGAATATACCTTTCCTACATAACGGCATAAGAATCAGTTTTTCGGCTTGTCTTGGATAAAGTAGGCTTACCATTATTACCGCTCATTATTATCCCCGTTAAATCACAGCTTTGAACAAGTCAAAATACCTCAAATTGAGCTATAGCACTATAGAGGATTTTATCTATTAATAGTTAACTAATATATTTTTACTAGAGCACTTTATTAGAAATACTAACTTACGCAAAAGCGGTCTTATTATCCACGCTCAAAAAGATATTTTAAACGACTAGCGCCTAAATCCTCAAACAGAAAGGCACTGGACACCACAGCTAGAATACTAAATCGTACAATAACTATAAGAATAGTAGAGAAATACATAATTACTGTATAATAAAATCAACCCCCAAAAGAATAATTTTTAATATAAGCTAAGCTTCAGCTTGATAGATAAAATATACAGAGATATTCAGGCCCATAAAGTAATAGTAACGTATATTTAAAATACTTGTACCACTACCTTTTTACTATCATAGTCATTATAAGAGACATTAAGTATACCTTTTAGCAGTCCCTTTATTAATATATTTCATCCATTAAAAGTTTACGATTTCATATCGCCTTTAATTCTAGATCAGATCCCCCTTATTTATAATACTTCAAAACAACCCAAACTATCTTTTATCGATCGCGCTTCCAAAGATACTTATAAAAGAAATTTTTAAAGGTAAATATCAGTTTACTCCTTCCTCTAGCGGCCTAAAGATTAATACAATAGGGCATATCGTACCATTAAAAATCAATACGATTCTGAAGCTGCGCTCGTGTATAAATTTCCAGTTTTTAAAGATAAGCTAAATCCTATATAAACAACAACAGAAACTCGATAACCAGAGTCCCATGATTTCTAAAATCTATCTAATAAAACACTTTTGACCTACGAGACGGTGGAAAAAACTCTCCACAAAGATATAACTTCTCCCTCTACAGTATATTTATTAGAAATCTGGCCAAGACGACCAATTATGATAAGGAATATTTGCACTATATTATATTATAACTGGAGAGGAGAACTATGCTAAATAAGAGACTTACTCTAATTCAAAAAAGTAAGTAGATTCTTCTTATCTATAACATAAGTTAAAAGATTAGCAATATCTGAGTATCCCCAAAACTTTACTTCGTCTCGTGGACATCGATATATTCTACTATTAAACACTGTCCGACTATCATTGACCAATTGTACCACAATATCCAAGTATCCTCTTTTAACCACCCACCACAGAGGCGTGCATCTATCAAAGTCGTAGAGATTCACATCAATATAACGTCTCTAGAGGAGGTACTTGACAATATTATCATGCCCGGTAAAAGCGGCTTAGGCTAATGCGGTCATCCCTAATCCATCACAGAAGTTTAAGTCTGCGTTAGGTTAGCGCCGGAGGAATAGTTTAACGATCCAGATATAGCCAAGTTTAACCGCCATACCTAGTACCAATTCAATCTTAATCGTGGGAGATAAAAGAAGAATTTCGACTATCTAAATATCACCTTAATACACCGCCCACTCTAGTAGTATCTTCTCACTCTTATCAAAAATATTCACATCAATCCCGTTCATATAGAGTAATAGTATTATTAAATATAAACTTCGATTCTTAACTATATAGTAGAGAGAAGTTGAGATATCCTAACCTATAGTATTAACATCCATATAACTCTCGGCCAATAGCTACTTAACAAGAAAGAGGTAATTATTCTTCGTGGCCCACCACAAGAGAATCTATCCATAATAGTTCCTCATATTTATCTCCAAACCGGGCTTATTAAGAAGAAGCTTAACAATCGACGGATCTCCAGATTTAGCAACTATATATAGAGCAGTATCTCCATAACTATCTCAGATATTCAGATTAATACCCTACTAACCGAGCAGCAGCTTAACAATCGATTCACGTGCAAGTTCGACAGCGTTATATAGAGAAACACTATTCTCAACATTATCTTAAATATTCACATCGATACCCAGCTGGTCGAGGAGCAGCTTAACAAGATTATAGTTGTCATTATCCACCGCGAGATATAATATAGACTTACCATCTTTGTTGCAGTTATTAACATTGATCGGAAACAAAAATAAAAGACAAACAATATCAAATCTACCGCACATAACGGTAACACACAGCGGTGGCGATTTATTCCAGATCCCCCAATAACCATCCATACCGCGAAGCTCTAGGTAAATTAAACTATAATTTAGAAGTTACTAAATAATTGATAGATTACCAAAAAAAATAGCTTAATATAATAGAATCATTCTATATATATCCTACTTATTTACGTTAATATTCTCTTTCTAAAGTAACAAAGCTACTACCTCTTTATTATTTATAAGAACAGCGTAATACAGAGCAGTCTTATAAAAAAGGTCTTGGACGTTAATATCAAGATAATCCCAAAAAAGAAACCATTTTATTAGGTTAATCTACTAGCAGCTCACAGTATAATAGAGCGATAGAACTCCCTTGGTAAGAAAATTAATATTAATACCATAGGAACCTAATATACAGGCGAGTCTTAGATTTCCATGAGATACTGCCTAGTATAGTGCGGAGCTGTTTTACCATTTGACATTAAATATATAGAGAGCGCGCAGAAGTCATATATATAGACTGGGATATATACAACATATAGAAAAAATATCACTTACTTTATCCAGGCTATCCAGAATAAACAATAAAAGTTCTATAGGAAAGACCAGAAGCGACATCTTACACAAGTTTCTAAAAATTAAAGTATATAAGGAGAACAAGAAACAAGGCTAAAACTACATATATAGATCTAACAGGGAAAATTATTTCTTATTTAATAAAATAAGAGCTTCATTAAGCCCTTAAGTATCGTTATTTAAGCCCAATCTAGTTACTCTCTAGCGCCAGTAGAAATAGTATCCGCATTCCATTCCATTATTAGATTCCAGTCAGAGTCCAAACATAAAATAGATAGCATTCCAATTTTCTTCTTTTTTTTTTCGTTGCCCTATCTAAATAATATCCCAAGGTTCTGTCTTGGCCACCATGTACTGTATATATAAATAGGTCTAGTAGAACATAGTCAATAAAAGATAGCGAACTGGATAGACCAAATCTCTCCCAGCCCAGAACATACGTTTCCTAAAGGCTATCTCGAAAGTCTTTTAAATACAGTAGAACATTGCATACCTATCAATAAAGACCATGACCCCGCCATGGTGACACGCAGAAAGCAGAAAGCCCAGAACCCAGCTAGCAGAGAACTCCGAGATCGCCATCATCAGATGGCCAACAACCTTGTTAATTTAGGACAGAATAGATCAGTGGATTCGAACAAACCCACCACTAAATTAATAGAGAAGACTCTAGACCCAAGTACCAGACAGGCGTTTGATTATATCCTACCTAAAGTAAGAATCCCCCTCCCCGCTCGAGAGAGCTGGATTCAAAAACCTAACAGCTCTGGAATAGTTCAAAGCCAGTCCATCGCGAGAGTATAGAACCCCATAGATTATATCTTCCCCAAGGAACACTGTAAATAGAATATTATTATATTTACTTTAAATCTCACAACAGAAAGCGCGCACACACTTTATAATTTATTCTAATAATATTATCAGTTGTTAATAAATTCTAAATATAGAACTTCCCTGTGGAATAGTAATAGCTTAATCTAGAGGAAAGTAAATACATACCAAGATACACCGAGTATAGCCTTTAACAATCGCTACCACGATTATATTTATACTAATTAATTTAATATTAAAAGTCCTACAGACATAGACTTTCCAACTTCCACTACCACGACTTTTAATAATATACTTAATACGGAGATACACTGTGTTAAATTATTAACTATTAATATAAAAATCTACACTAACGGCTCAAGCACTCATACCAGCGACGGGCAGTCCCCTGAGAATCATACTATCACTGGTTTAACCTCAAATTCATCCAGCGATTTATCCACTATACAAAGCGACTATCAGTTTATTTATTTAATAGCCCCCAAAATAACCACCGAGAATATTTCAACATCTCTATACAGTTCGATAAACGAAACAGTAGGACTTGCCACCTATGCCCCACAGTAGAAAGATTCGGAAGAACAAGACCCGCGGACGTACATCCAGTGTCCCTTTTCTCACGATCTATTAAGCATCAGAGACTATAAGTGGTGTGGCCAACCTCCCAGCATTTCAGAGGGACATATACCGAGTCAATCCTATTACTACCCTCCGTCGATATCAGCTGCCAACGAGTACGGAGAGAAGCTATCTCCACACTTTCCCATCTCATTAGCCTTGGATACTTCCGCTACTTTTAACATAGATACTGGATTCGACCACACGATCATGGCTGAGGGAAATCAGCCATCCCAGGAAGATCAAACACCAGCCAAGGAACTTGCCTTAGCATCTTCTATGATCGAGCCATACTATCCGGACAGTAAAGGTTTCGATAGGATAGATAGTGGTAAATAGCCAGTCATCCCATTGGCGGGGAGTAATAGAAGAAATACAGCGAGCGTAAATACTCTAGTATCTATAGATCAATCTACAATCTTAGGTTATAGTAAAGAGATGATACAGAATTGGGTGATAGGCCACTACCACTAAGTTAAAGTTAAATATACCTCGGCGCATCATGTTACATGTATGATACTGTTCAATTCAAAATCAGGCAAGATATCTAAAAGGGTTATTTAATTGTTGAAATTCACTATTTCATTCCAAAGGTAACAATATCCTGTAGTTATATCAGGTGTAATGGGACCCTTGGCCTTGTCAAAGTTTTGCGCTCAGTCCTCAATACCCAGACTCACAGTTAAATACCAATATATTATCGATACGAGAAAGCCGTCACTACATATACATCAAGTCTATATATAACTAGACAGGCTTTGTTCTTTAGTACGTATGTTCATACTCTAGCCCCTGGTGCGTTAGATATAACATCAGCCTGAGGCCCATTGCCCTGGTATATACGACTGCAATCATAATTCAATATAATATAAAAATATCTATCACGGGTGATACGCTAGTACTATACCTTCTATAGAGAACAGACCCACCCAATTAGCCAGGATACATAGATATAACGGTAGCTACTCAACAGGCTATACTTATTTCTACAAGGTTTAAACTCTGTTGACAAAGGTGTCAATGAATTACCCCTATATACTATTTTTACTTAGCAAATAGATATGACATTATTTTTCTTATTCGGGAGATACTATGCGGGGCTGATCCTAATACTTTCTTGAATACTATCCTGGTCTAAACAGTGAACCTACTGTGAAACTACTCCCCAGTCAGAATCTACAGCCAAGATATTATGAAGATGCCGATAGTCTTCTTCAGGGCCCACGAATAGGCCCAAACTCCAGGCCCAAGGCCCAACCTATATGGGCCCTGGGCCCTAACTACCGAGCCTAAGTCCAATCCCTAGGCCTACAATGGGCCCCCAATGGGTCCCCTCTAAAGCCTATTTTTATATAAAATTACAGTCTTGGTATTCATAAAGCTGCTAAATAAGCAAAATAAAAAACTATTTTTTATCTTTGTTTTGGTATCTATAGAAAGTAATACTATCCTTTTTTATATAATTATATAAAATTTTATAAATTATATTTAAAAATAAAGTTTTCTAACCTAGTTCCTTTTAAATTACTAACTTTAAAATAGATTTTAGATTAGTAGCGTGATATTATAGTAGTATTAAAATATCTTCGATATTAAAATTATTTAAATATATATTTTAATATACTAGCTATCTACTACTTTGATTTTATTTACTAATACTTAGCCTTATAATAACTATATTTATATTTAATATAATCTTATTAATATTAAATATAATTAATATTATTATAATACTACGCTACTATAGTACTACTATAATCTATTATAGTTATTTTAATTATTACTATTATTATAGTAATTATAGATATTACAATTATTTTAATTATTTCTATTATTACTATTATTCAGGGCCCTTATTTAAGTTATCTTAGAAAAAAATATAAATTTTTGATATATATAGATTAGGAATAGGCTGGAAATAAACTATTGATAGATTTTAATAGGTTTTAGTAGGCTATTAACGGGCTTTAATAGATTTTGATAGGCTATCGATAGGTTTTGATAGGCTTTGATAAATTATTAATAGATTTTAGTAGACTTTTAGTAAATTTTAGTAGACTTTCAATAGACTTTGGTAGATTTTGATAGACTTTTATTAGGCTCGATCTATTTAAAACTATAATATTTAATTAATTAGTAGAAGATACCTAACTTTGTTATATTTACGACTTAATATTTTTAGTTAAAATTAATAATATCTTTTAACTATTGTATATATACTCTATATCTTTTTTTATTAACTATTTATTATGTGCTATTATTTATATACTATTATATTTTAAAGCTAATAGTTTAACTTCGCGTTATCTTTTTATAATAGAGATATAGATAATCTTATATTTCTTATAATTTTAAATTATCTTGTTACTCTAGATTTATCCAGTAGTTAATAAATATTAAATAAATTTAATTCTAAATTTTTTTGTTCAATTATTTCACTTGTTACCCTGCTCTCTTTTATCTATATTAGCTTTAATCGAAGAAAAATCTTTATTCTATATAATAATATAGTATACAATGAATAAGTGGATTAGTAGCTGTAGACTAACTATAGATAAAAGAATAAAATATACTAAAACTCGATCTATTAATTAAATATCTAGAACCATTTTTACCAGGTAGTATATAAAATAGATAAAGCTTCAAAAATTATATATAAGCGCTGTAGTTAGATTCTTGAATATCTCTATTCTCTTAGAAATAAAATAAATAAAGGAAGGGACCAGTGTTATAATCTATTAATAATAAAAAGATATATTTTAATATCTATATGTTAGAGATGGAATTAGAAATAAAAAGAAGAGATTACTTAGTTTTTTAAATAGAGTATAGATTTAACTTTTAATAATATATATTCTTTTACTAATTTACTATCTATTTTTAAAAATAATACTATAACTAAAACTATATTTTTATAAAAATATTAAAAGAAAAAGATCCTATCTTTTCTTTCTTTAAATTGGCTTTTTTTCCATCTTATTAAGCAATTAACATTTCGAAGTTTTATTCAAATAGCTTATACTATCCTGTCTTTATCTATAATCTTT